ATTCAGGAACCTATACAGCCTACACAGTTATATTAAATCAAAATTAATGTTTCTTTAAATTTTATTTAATTTTTAAAGTCAAGACATTCTCATCATATATATATATTTACAGCAATATGCCCTCTGCAGTATTTGAGATTATGCTTAGTCCACTGTTTTAAAATAATACCTGTTAACTGGAAAAATCCCACGTTGGTGAATTAAAGGGAAACCTAAGGACTTCAAATACAATGTGGTACTCCACATATTACAACTGGTTTAATTTAGATATTTACATGGTATCAAAGCCCAGGGCCAAGTTGTATGAGCAATCCGAGGGGGATAGTTGATGTTAGTCTGTCTGCACAAATCCAAAAGAGTTGCAACAAATTTGCAACCCTGGAAGGGTTGTTGGAAGCCCTGGTGTGCAATCGGAGGTGAGGTTGACAGTGGCTTGGTGTGCTTGACCATGTGACAGGTGCATGTGAGAGGATGTGTCATGTGTAAGAATCTCATATCAGTGAATTATAACCAATGGATTACTCCACCCATTGCCAATTGATTAGAGGTTGAATGTTTAAAATACATTTTCCAGTCACCTCTTAAACATAAACAACCTAAGTCTGACAAAAACCTAACTAAAGTCAGACCCTAACACTACTTTTATTGTATAATCTACCTAGAGATCTAGTCACTGAGGTATATTACGGTTTGAAAAAAACTAACCATATGGAAAACACTCCAATTCATGACATAGTGTTTTGCATTTATAAAATTGACATGCTGTATCACCAATTAAGAAAACTGGCTTTGGGGAATGTTTAAATCAATTCAAGCACAACCATAGAATAATTTCAGTGGACTTGAAAATTACAAAACACCAAAACTAAAGAGATTATGAATACTAATAATAGATATAACCAAGACAACTGAAAAGACTGAATAAAGAAGCATAGCCAATATACCTCCAAAAGTTCAGAACCCCAGGGAGGGCTTGTTAAAAAAATCCCATATGTGCTCGTTAATTGGGTAAAAAGATGAGCAAAGCCTTAATTGCAATTTAAAAATAGTTTTTCCATCTTCCAAATAATCCAGCCTCTCCTACAATTAAAAGATATGGATTAATAAATAATCATCTAACACAGTAAAATGTAACCATCTAGGTGATAATGAAGCTAGGCTAGTTTTATTTATAACAATCCATTGAAAAATTGGAATCTTAAACACAACGAAAAAGAATTAGTTACATAATAGGATGTGAATATCATTTTATAATTTACAACGTAGAAAGGTTCAAACAAATTAATTTTTTCTTGTGACCAGAGGTTAACACATGTCAAAATAAAATTACCTTTCCATTTTCTTGAAGATACTGTGGAACCAGTTCTCTCATAATTGGTAGAGAAATTTCTGATCGCAACCTGAGTACAGAACGTAGTTCAACAGGGTGAAATCATTGAATGATGTAACGAGGAAAAAAATGAAATGATGCAGATAACAAAAGCATGAGAAAAAGTCATGTCTAAATTACTAGAAAATATACTGTTATGGCATTTAGTTGGCATCAAAGAAGGCTAGGACCTAATAAAGACTAGAAAAATGCTATAATATCTGGT